GAGTGAAAAGAATGATCAAGAATTGCCAGGAAAAAAAAGTTCTTGTAGGAAGATGGGTTTTAATACTAACAATGTTTGTAGGATAGCATAACCAGTTAAAGGATTCATGATAAATATTTAAAATTATTATTTATATAGGGAAAAACAAACCTTTCTCAGTCATATAAAACAAAAAGGGAAGGAACAAACAATTAAAGTTGATAAACAAAATGGACAGAAGGAAGTGGGTTTGAACACAGTATTTGGAACTCACTGCTGCAGTGAACTGAGTCTGGAAGTTGGTGCAGAATTGAAACTACTACTCGATAAAGCAGAGCAAATAGTGATTCACTGTGTGCAGAGAGCAGTGAACTAGGTAATTTCCAGGAATATTAGGTTGAAACATATTTCACAGCATAAGAAACTTATTCTCTCAGCTTTACTAGCTTCTTATAGCTGCAGCAGTGACAAAGAGTAAGAACTAACTTTTGAGGTAGATGCTACACATCACAGGAATAAAGATTTCAGTAGGGTGAGTGATGCAAAGAGTTAAAAAATAATGCATAAAATTGTGCAAATACATGCTGTAGAAATCACTAGGCTTCCATCCGGGGTGGGGGGAAGGCCGGAGTAGAAGAGGGATTTCTGAAGGGACTTCCAACTCCTTGATAGCTTGCCAACATGTCTACCAAGGACACAAGAAAACCTGGGGTGTAAAAACCACAAAAATGTAGGAATCTGCAATTCCCTTTTTTTCTGGAAAGCTCCCTGTGAGGAAGAAAAGGATTGTGGAAGCAGAATAACTGAAGTCATATGTATTAGGAACATGAGGGAAGCTCAGAGATGAAAGAGCAAGGGTTGGTGAAAGGAGGCAGGTTAAACTACTTTTCCATTGTGTTCCTACAGCAGATTTCAGATCCACTGGATCTGGACATTGTGCAGGGGAAAAACACATCTGTCTGGTTGAAAATTCAAGACATAGCATCTGTATCTTCTCCTTGAGCAGCCATTCTCACAGGAATCAGAAAAAAAAAGTGACCCAGTTCACAGCTTATTTGCAATGGAATCCCATTTGAATAAAAAAGACAGTGTCTAAAGTGCTCTGCGAGTGTTTGTTTCTTACCAGACAGGAAGGTAAAGGTATCATTTGAGCCTTCCTTTGCCTATTCAGCCAACTAAGTAACCGATGAATGTACCAAAAGATATGGGAAAGCCACTGAAAGCAGATTACATAGATTACATATCACTTAGCAACAAATCCTATTGGTTGAACAATTTCTGCCACAGGCTGCGGAGACCACAAGTGGGATGAGATGAGTCTCTGTCAACCAATATGATTCATATTTGCCATACCCATCTGTTACATGCAAACCAGTTGCTGCTGGCACTTAACATTTATGGTTGAAAGCTACCAACTCCCACTACCATGAAGTTTTCCTTCTAAGCAGTAAAGATGTTCCAGCTTCCTCTGTGAGGTTTCTTTTCAATTTTAGCTTGTTTCACATAACGAAGAGAACTTGAAACTGAGAGCACGAACCAGCCCTTGAACACTCCAGTGTTGAGAGAACGGTGGAGTTTTGCATCACTTCAGTTTTGTATTTATTTCTCCCTCAGATCAAGTCAACCTTGTGGGAGCATTATTCGCAAAATCAAAGGAGAGGAAATCAGCTGTATAGTTACCTCAACCACTTTGCTAAATCCCAGTGTGAGACTTTGAGAATAAAATGCTGATGGACGATGTGGGACTGGCAGCCTTTAGCAGGGAACGAGCACTCAGTGGCTCCAGCCCTGACTCTGGCACTGACTCATCTCTTGACTTTGAACGGACCACTTCCACAGCTTTACCTCCACACTTTTAAAGGAGGTACACAGTAATTACCTATATTGGAGGGATGTTATGAAAATTTGCTCATTAATGCTTCTAAAATGATTGGGGTTCCCCAGACTAAGTGTTTCACAGAAGGGCAGAATATTATCTATCTTTATAATGACAGCATTATCAGAAAAGAAAACCAATATCTTTCAAGTGACCAGAAAAATGTTTAAATATCTTGAAAACAAACGGCTGCCGAAGTTAAACATTAGACACTGGCTGTATTGCAGCACTATACTAATCAAGGAGTTTAAAATGTGTACAGAATCCTAAATCCCACTATTTCCTTCAAAGTCATTTCTTGCACAACCTTATGCCACTGCTTTCCTTTCATCTTTGATAAAAAGCCTTCAGCAGTTCCAGCCATACTAACACTACTGCTGCTTGTTGCAGCTGTACGCATTCTAAATGCATGGACCTGCCAGAGAGCCTGCAACAGCTTCCTGTTGTAAATACCCCCATAGACAATGTCATCACTAACCCTGTGACAGAAACTGGGTGTTCCAGATATGGTGGGAGCATAGTGGGCTTGCGAGAAGGCCAGCAGCATCCTGGGCTGTATTGATGGGACCATAGCCAGGCGACTGAGACACACAGTTTTCCCCCTTTGCTAGGTTTAAACCACATCTAAATACTGTACCCAGTTTGGGACCCTCCCAATATAAGAAAGGCTGTGACAAACTTGGAAAAGCTAGGCAGGGGACACCAAGATGGTTGGAGCTGGAGCACTTGTCCTGCAAGAAAA